CTTAGACAAAAATCTGTGAGCTGGAGGCTAAAAAACTGTGAGCTAGCTCACACTAACTCAGCTTAGAGGGAACACTGCCTGTGAGGTGGGTGGGGCTGAGAGAGCTCTGACACAAACTGCTCTTTCAGGAACAGCTGTGCCAGAGTTTGTGACTGACCCAAGGTCACATCAGCAGGTGCAAGTGGAGGAGTGGGGAATCAAACCCGGTTCTCGCAGTATAGAGTCCGCACACTTAACCACTACACCAAACTGGCTCTTGTTCATCCTGAGTCTACTGCCCATCAGCTTCATTGGATGCCCTTGAGTTCTAGTATTTTGGGAGAGGGAGAAGAATTTCTCCTTCTCAACTCTCACCACACTGTGCATAATGTGATAAACCTCTACCACATCCCCCACTTCGTCATCCCTTTTATAAACTGCAAAGTCCCGGACTCTTTGACTGAGCCATCGGGTAGGGCGGCATAAGGTAAAGGTTCCCTTGCTCGAAAGCCAGTCGAGTCCGACTCTAGGGTTGCGGTGCTCATCTCCGTTTCAAAGCCGAAGAGCCAGCGCTGTCCGAAGACGTTTCCGTGGTCATGTGGCCGGCATGACTAAACACCAAGGCGCACGGAACGCTGTTACCTTCCCACCGAAGTGGTACCTATTCATCTACTTGCAATTTCTTGCTTTCGAACTGCTAGGTTGGCAGGAGCTGGAACTAGAGACGGGAGCTCACTCCGTCATGCGGCACACTCGGGTCTCGGACTGCTGAACTACCGACCTTCCACAGCCTGCAGTTCAGCGTCTTAACCACTTGAGCCACCGCAGCATAGAAATCTAATAAATAAATAAATAAATAAATAAATTAAAAAAAATTCCTCCTCCTAGGGAAAGGGCTCCAACCCCCTCATCATCTTGGTTGCCCTCCTCTGCACTTGTGTAACTTGTGGAGCTAGAGAACTTGGATCTAAGGTCTTTAGAGTTGAACTGCCAGGTAAACTTACCTACATCAACATGTTGATGAGCTGCAATGTAACTCTGAAGGTGGAACTGGGCTTGTTTCCATCTGGGTGTTTAGAAGCTCTTGGGCAATTTAATTTCACTGACAATAAGTGTACCCACACCTTTGCACCCGTTTCATGCATGAACATCCAGGAAAGTCAAAGACGTATGGATCCTACTTAACAGCTCTTCGGAAATCACGGTAAACATTTTTAAGGGAGAAAGTGGTTTTCCTTCAACAGGGGTATCTCCCACACAGGCAGGTGCTCGGTTACAGTGATTGTACAAAGGGGAAGTCATTGAAGTAGTGACAGACTTCACGTTCCTGGGATCCCAGATCAGCGCAGACTGTGACGGCAGCCATGAAATTAAAAGACGCCTGCTCCTCGGGAGGAAAGCGATGGCGAACCTAAACAGCATGATAAAAAGTAGAGACATCACCCTGCCAACAAAAGTCCACATGGTCAAAGCAATGGTATTCCCAGTAGTCACGTATGGCTGCGAGAGTTGGACTATAAGGAAGGCCGAGCCCCGAAGAATAGATTCTTTGGAACTGCGGTGCTGGCGAAGACTCTTGAGAGTCCCTTGGACTGCAAGAAGATCAAATCAGTCCATCCTAAAAGAAATCAACCCTGACTGTTCCCTGGAAGGCCAGATAATGAAACTGAAGCTCAAATACTTTGGCCACCAAATGAGAAGGGAGCACTCCCTGGAGAAGACCCTGATGCTGGGAGAGATTGAAGGTCAAAGAAGACGGGGACGGCAAAGGATGAGATGGTTAGACAGTGTCATAGATGCAATGGACATGAAGTTGAGCAAACTTCAGAGGACGGCGGAAAACAGGAAGGCCTGGCGGGATCTGGTCCATGGGGTCACGGATAGTCGGACTCAACTGTTCGACTGAACAACAACGACAAACATCTTGGATGTTACATGGGTTGCCAACTTCCAGGTGGTTAAAACCAAAACAGAAACACCGTGGACAATAATGAAAACAATTCACAAATTATATTCGTTCAAATTCTAAAAATTGCAATGAAGAACCATAGGGTCACAACTTCAACATTCGTAATGCACATTGCATAGAAAAATCCAAGTCCAAGTCAAAATGATCCATAACACAAATCGACGTGAATGAAAACAATATTGCTTTGGCTTAATGTGAAATCTTGTTGATTGCGTAGAATCCTTTGGATATGTGAATGTATCCTATACTCCCTTCTGAGGAAGTGTTTTGTGAAACGATGTTCAAGTCGACGGCATTGCTACAACAAGAAAGAGAACAAGGAACCCACATCCTGTATTGGCAAGAACTACCCACACAAGCACTTTAAGAACATAAGAACATAAGAGATGCCAATGTTGGATCAGGCCAAAGGCCCATCCAGTCCAACACTCTGTATCACACAGTGGCCAGAAATACCAGGTGCCAATCAGGGGGTCCACCAGTGGGGACTTTGTTTTCATAAGGAATGTTTATTCATGTTGATTCGTGGTATGGATCATTTTGAATTGGGTTTTTCTATGCAATATGCATCTTGAATGCTTCTGTATGGATTAGTTTGCCCGCTTTGTGAGAACTCTGTTGGAATCATAAGAATTATTCCATATCATGGATTAGGATTTTGTAGTAACTGTGTAAGGAAAAGATCGCTATCTACATTATAAGGAATGACGCAACTGGTCAGTTGATGTTCAGAGGACGTTTTTCTGCGAAACGGAAGTTTACTCCGGAGAATTTCGTCATCATGGCTCTGCGAGGAATTCTTCTTTGTCTGCACACCTGGCAGAAAAAAAAATATATATAAGGACTTTGGTGACGGCCATAAATCTATGCAGAAGGTACCATAAAACCCAATGATGAAAGAAAGTGAAAGCGGCATGCAGTGCACAGGGGGGGTTGGTAAAGCAACAGAGGGAAAAGCCAATGCAGAATCGCCCAAAGAGAGACATCCCATTCCAGGAGACAACACCTGTACATGGTTAGAGTGCTGTAGCACCTCCCAATGTCCAGGCATGCCGTTTCACTCACTCCATCACCTTGGTGGTCTCCAGGGGTCATTTCGTAGGAAAAGAGGTGCTGGAGCTCATTAGCATAACTCATTTGCATAGGCCACACCCCCTGACATCACCGGAAGTGTGTCAGAAGGCAACACCCACCGCTTAGGCTCCACTGGACTGTTTTGGATTGCTAGCTATGGGGTGGGGGAAACGTGCAGATCTGTCCTCGCAGAGGAGGGAGAGTACCTGAACAAAACTTGGTCTTAAAGGTGCCACTGGACTGTTTTGGGCCGGGGGGCTCTGCAACTTACCTGGCTGCTTCTTACTCTGACTGAGGGCTGCTGGGAGCAGGGGGTGGGGCTTGTTGCATGTGCTTGCCCCCTGGGCTCCTTACTGCCGGAGCTCCGCTCCTGTGCGCACCTGCAGGAAATGACCCCTGGTGGTCTCCCATCAACATACTAACCAGGGGTGATCCCGTTTAGCTTCCGAGATTTGATGAGATCAGGCCAGCCTGGTCCATCCAGGTCTGGGTGCCTCTACTTATCACACCCATTTATACCACACTCAAACTTGTCCAGGGCTTTTTTTTGTAGAAAAAGCCCAGCAGGAACTCATTAGCATAATAGGCCACACCTGACAACAGAAACTCCTTAGCATATTAGGCCACACCCCTGACAGCACAGCTCATTAGCCTATTAGGCCAAATACCCCATGTTACCAGAAGTGTGGTCGTCCAGCCACACCTACCTTTTGCTTCTTATTCTGTTTACCTTGTTTGTTGTCAAAACCCAGGGCCTTTTTTTGTAGCAGGAACTCCTTTGCATGTTAGGCCACGCACCCCTAATGTAGCCAATCCTAATGAGTTTCTGTTGTTGGGTGTGGCCTATTATGCTAATGAGTTCCTGCTGGGCGTGGTCAACTTGGGAGCCAGCCGGGACTCCGTTCCTGTGCGTTCCTGCCCCAAAATAGCCCTGAACTTGTCACTGTAGAGGGCTTTTGTGGCCTTTTTGCAAACTGAGGAGTTCAGTCATTGGAAGGCAAGTGGGGAAACCTGTACGGTCTCCCTGTCACCTCGGTTCTGGCCCCACTAGTGGACCTCCTGATGGCCCCTGGGTTTTGTGTTTTTAACAGATAATTTTTATTCATTTTGATAAACAGCAAAGATTTACAAGGTAAGCATGAGCATAGTCAGCTCTCAATGGCTT